TCACGTTTGTTAGCCGCCAGTCAACTGGGACCTCCCCCGATAGCCAGGACTGTTTATAAATGATGGTAAGCAGCTTGGCCAGCTCCTCTGCCAGTTCTCTCAGTACCCTTGGGTGGATCCCATCCGGCCCCATCGACTTGTGCACATCCAAGTGCCGTACCAGGTCACCAAACAGTTCTTTGTGGATAGTGAGGGCCACATCCCGCTCCCCATCCCCTTCCAGCAGCTCAGGGTACTGGGTATCCAGAGAACAACTGGTATTGCCGCTAAAGACTGAGGCGAAGAAGGCATTGAGCACCTCCACCTTTTCCTCATCTCTTCTAACTAAGTTTCCCCCCGCATCCAGTAAAGGATGGACATTCTCCTTAGTCCTCCTTTTTGTGTTGATGTATTTATAAAAACATTTTTTGTTCTCTTTAACGGCAGTAGCCAGATTGAGCTCCAGATGAGCTTTGGCCTTTCTAATTTTGTCCCTGCACAGCCTCGCAACATCCTTATAGTCCTCCCTTGTGGCCGGCCCACTTTTCCAAAGATTATAAACCCTCTTTTTTCTCCCAAGCTCAAGCCACAATTCTCTGCTCAGCCAGGCTGGTCTTCTTCCCCACCAGCTCGTCTTTGGGCACGTGGGGACAGACCGTTCCTGCGCCATTAAGATTTCCCTCTTGAAGAGCGCCCAGCCTTCCTGGACTCCTCTGCCCTTCAGAAACGCCTCCCAAGGGACTCTACCAACTAGTGTCCTGAGCAGCCCAAAGTCAGCCCTCCGGAAGTCCAATACAGCGGTTTTACTGGTCCCCTTCCTGGCCTTGCCAAGAATAGTGAACTCCACCATTTCGTGGTCACTCTGCCCACGACAGCTCCCGACAATCACATCCTCCACCAGTCCTTCTCTGTTTGTGAAGAGAAGGTCTAGCGGGGTGCCACCCCTGGTAGGCTCACTAAGCAGCTGCGTCAGGAAGCTATCTTCCACGCTCTCCAGAAACCTCCTAGACTGCTTTCTCTGGGCTGTGTTGTGCTTCCAGGATATGTCAGGGAAGCTGAAGTCCCCCACAAGAACAAGCGCTGAAGATTTCGCAACTTCTGTCAGCTGCCTGTAGAACTCCTCATCCGTCTCCTCATCCTGCTTCGGCGGTCTATAACAGACCCCAACCAGGACGCTAGCCTTGTTGACCCTGCCGATCCTAACCCAAAGGGACTCGACCTTGTCATTCCCAGCCTCGAGTTCTACAACATCAAAAGACTCTCTAATACAGAGAGCCACACCACCACCCCTTCTGTGCTGCCTGTCCCTTCTGAAGAGCCTATAGCCAGGCATTGCAGCACTCCAGTCATCAGAGTGGTCCCACCACGTCTCCGTGATGGCAACCAAGTCGTAGCCTGCCTGCTGCACGACGGCTTCCAGCTCCTCCTGTTTGTTACCCATGCTGCGTGCATTGGTGTAGATGCACTTCAGCTGGGCCATTGCCTTATCCCCCGGCCTTGCTATTGTTCCCCCTGGCACAGCTCCAACAATCCTTGCTTCAGCCCCATCCCCCTTCTTACCTACTTTAAAGCCCTCTCAACGAGCCCCGCCAGCTCCTGGCCCAGGATCCGTTTTCCCCTAAAAGATAGGGACCCGTCTGCGGCCATCAGGCCGGGTGCCGAGTAAAGTGCCCCATGGTCGAAAAACCCAAGATTTCTTTGTTGGCACCAGCCCCTGAGCCACGTGTTTAACAGGTGGGCTTTCTGTGTCCTCTCTGTACCCCTCCCTGCCACTGTAGGGATGGACGAAAACACCACCTGCAGTCAGAGCAAGAAAGTCCTTTTCAATTGGGAATAAACGGGAAAAAAAAATAATTCCACTAACTTGGAAATGAAACTATAGAATCATAGAATAAATAAGGTTGGAAAAGACCTTCAAGATCATCTGGTCCAACCATCACCCTACCACCAATGTCACCCAATAAACCATGTCCCTAAGCACCACATCCAACCTTGCCTTGAACACCCCCAGGGCGGTGACACCACCTCCTCCCTGGGCAACCTGTCCCAGTGCCTGACTGCTCTTCTGAGAAGTAAAGTCTCCTAATTGCTTTACCTGTTGAAGAGCAGTGCTCTTTGTTCAGTTCTTTAATTCTTGAAGAGTAGGGGCATGACGTTTCCATTTTTCCACTCCCCAGTGACAGCACCCCACTACCAGGACTTTTCTGCTGTGATGGAGGGAGGCTTGGCAACTCCATCAGCCAGTTCCCTCAGGACCCTGGGATTCTTCTCATCCACTCCCGTAGACCTGTATCTCTTTGGATTCATCAGCTGGTCTCGAACCTGCTCTTCGCTTAAACTGGGTGGGACTCTGCTCCCCCAGCCTCCATCTATGGGGTCAGGGAAATGAAAGATATGGGAAGCCCTTCTACCAGTGCACACAGAGGCAAAGAAGTTGCTGAGTACCTCAGCCTTCTCCACGTCTGTCATTACCAATTACTCAGATATAGAAACTCACTCCTAAGATAAGCAATTAGCCAGCTATAATCACTCACACACTACTGTTTTCACCCCTCGGTTTATTTTCACAAATGTTAAAGGCGCATGCTGGCCCTTGGGGACTCCACCTGTCACCCCAGCGCAGCAGCCCGAAGGGAACTGGGGCCTCTCTTGGGCTCTTCCTCGAGGCTCTGCGCAGAAGGGCTGCCACCTCTCGCACAAGGGCTGCCGGATGGGAAAGAAGCACTCACACAACCCCTGACAATTGGCAAAGATCTTTATTGCCACGTGGCTCCAGGCTAATGCCTGGAGTGGAGCCTGGGCGATGACGAATAGGGAGCTTGCCGAGCCCTTCTGCACAGCTGACGGTGTTCCTTGAGGACACTTTTCAGAGAGCTGCCGGGGGACTCCCATGTTTGTTGTGGCCGAGGTGGGTCCACTTCCATCGGTTGCTCTTCATCTTGTGCACCCACCTCCATGGGCTCCGCGGGTTGGAGGACGAGCCAGTCCCTGGCAGGGACTGCCCACACAGGCTGCCGTCCATTGGGCATATTTTCCGGCCACGGTGCCGCACCAGGACGCCTCCCAGTTCCGTGCCTCGGGTCTGTTCCGTTCTCCGCTTGATTTTCATTGACGGAATTTCTGATGGCATCTCTCCCTTGGCCACGGCTGGGTCCCGCATCATATTCCGTCCGCTGGGCACGGCTCCGCTTCCCGTGGCCCTCCAACCCATGCTCTCTCTCTTTGCTGTCCTCAGTGGACCTCCAGCTAGGCCCAGGTCTGCTGTTGGTGTCTATCCGAGGGGCCGGTCTGCTCCCCACATCGCTTCGGCTCCAATTATATTTATCGTAATAGCCTCTGGGCCGGGCACCAGACACCTCCTGGGCACTGATGGTTCTTGTGCTGGAGGTGCTGGCCCTCGACCCATGGCGCATTCTCGCAGAGCCAGACATCCTTCTCAGTGGTCCCAGGAACAATTTCTTGTCCTCGCACTGAGAAGGGCTGCTGCTCGCCTCGCGCTCGCTTTGCTCCTGTCTCTGGCCTTCCTTCAGCCGCTGGCTTTCGGAAGACCAAATCGCTGAGCAAGTGGCGGGCCAGTGGCAGGGGGGCCCCTTTTATAGGGCCCGGGGCAAGGGCGGGCCCGCTGGTGGCCACTGTGACCTCGGCAAAGCTCTGTGATGGAGCGGCCCGTGCGAGGCCGAAGGTGGCTGCCTTGGGAGAGGCCCGGAAGATGCCCTCATGTGGAGCAAGGACAAGGGTTGGGGGGGCTGAGGGCCCCCTTTTCTGGGGCTGGCTCCCCCCCAGGCCGTTTGGCTTGCCAGACAGAAAGGCTGCCCCATGAAACCCTGCCTCGACCCGTTTTTTCTCCAGATCTCCAAGGGTCAGAGTCACTTGTTAATAAAAAGACAACCCCACCAACGAAACCAAAACAGACCAATTCACAAGGCTAAAGCAGTCAAAACTGAAGTACCGATCACAGAATCACAGAATTTCTAGGTTGGAAGAGACCTCAAGATCATCGAGTCCAACCTCTGACCTAACACTAACAAGTCCTCCACTAAACCATATCCCTAAGCTCTACATCTAAACGTCTTTTAAAGACCTCCAGGCATGGTGACTCCACCACTTCCCTGGGCAGCCTGTTCCAATGCCTAACAACCCTTTCGGTAAAGAAGTTCTTCATAACAACCAACCTAAAACTCCCCTGGCGCAACTTAAGCCCATTCCCCCTCACCCTGTCACCAGGCACGTGGGAGAACAGACCAAGCCCCACCTCACTACAGCCTCCTTTGAGGTACCTGTAGAGAGCGATAAGGTCGCCCCTGAGCCTCCTTTTCTCCAGGCTGAACAAGCCCAGCTCCCTCAGCCGCTCCTCGTAGGACTTGTTCTCCAGGCCCCTTACCAACTTCTTTGCCCTTCTCTGGACTCGCTCGAGCACCTCCATGTCCTTCTTGTAGCGAGGGGCCCAAAACTGAACACAGTACTCGAGGTATGGCAGCCTCACCAGAGCCGAGGACAGGGGGAAATATGCATCATTCCAAAATGTCTGCCAATCCTGACAGACTGAATAGCCTTGAACAACTACTATAACTTTCTGTTCCACTGTTCCCAGTGTAAGAAATGGTAGTAATGATATTTACCCCAAAGATAAGGTGTTTTAAGACTGATGAATTAAAAGTCTTCTAGATTAATGGAATTAAAGTATGAAGTTTTATCCACCAATAACTATATGGGTCCATCTCAGAGGTACTTAATATTGCTGGATTTTAGCAATTCAGAGCATTAAATCCACTTAAAATTAAATTGCATGTTTAAGGACCCCCCTTAATTCCATCTTTTGAAAGAGCTGGAAAAAAAAGTTACGCTTGCAGGGACTGAAATTTTATTCACAGCTGGAAAAAAATAGATCATCGTCCAGGAGATAGCACTCAGTATTGAGGCAACCATAAATCTGTTGGTAAATATAAATCAGTAGCCACTGACCGTCTTCTTAAAAAATATACCCCAAAAAATCTTAGCAATATAACTACAGTTTTTCTTACCTGAAGAAGTACAAAGCATGGCAACACTGTGTGGCTTCTCTGAGACTTATGCCTGATGTTTGAAATCATGTTCACCTGTGAAGAAAGCAAAGTATGTTGTGTCCATCTGTAGCAAGCTGGCATTGCTGAGATTAACATGCTGACAACAAACTATAAAAGGCCTGGCTAAAACACAAATATACCAAAACAAAGAATGGTGAGAAGTACAACAGGACAGAGGAGTGCATATTACTTTATACCACTATGAAATGAGTTAACTTATTACTTGAAAGTATTTGAAGTTAATTTAGCATTAACAACTGTTTTTGTTCCAAATAACAGTATATATACAAATATTAGTACTTATAATTGTTTTAGTTATATCACTCCTCACTTTGACCTTTTTAGTATCAAAACAAAACATTTATTTCTTTTCATTAGAGTTTTTCTGAATTCTGTTGACTTCAAAGAAATTTAAGCACGTTCTTAAAGTTTACACTAGAGGGCTTTGCTGAGGGAACATTAGGTGAAGGCTTAAAATTTTTCAATCTACCAGGCTTCTACAGAAGCACAGTAACACAGGGCTACCAATCTGTGAAGTCATGCCTTGAAATCCCAGTACAGCAGACTTCTGGTTCTGAAGGATCCACAGAATGTTTCTTCTCAATACCACAGATACAAAACATTTCCTAGCTCCTTGCAAGAAAATTAAGATCTGTGGTGGTTTTTGTTGTTGTTGTTGGTTTTGCTTTTAAAAAGGCATCAACTGCCTAGAAGAAAATCCTGCAGTACTAATCCCTGCTGCAGGAAAAGACCAGCAGAAAGCCATGCATCATGAATACGATGATTCTAGGAGCCAGCTCATGACTGCTAAAGTAAATTAGGTAAAACCTCCAGAGGAGTTAGCATCTTCAACAATTATAACAGTGCTACTGAATGCTAGGCAGCCCCTCTAGATCTCCCTCTTCTTTCTTAAATATTTTCTTAAATATATTGCTTTGATAATTTAATTTTTAAAATCTCTAATTTTAAAATTATTCCTAAGAGATACTGAAAGAGTCCTTTAGCCCTCTTTTGTTTTTCTCAGCTGTGCCTTTTGCTGTTCTTCATTCCTATTCATCTTTCTTTTTCATGATTTCTCCTTCTTGTCTCCATGTGCTTATCCCCCAGTTCCTCTTTATCACTTTTACATACTCCCTTTTCCTCATTCCACTTCTCTCATGTATCACTTCCATCATCCGGCTTGTCCTCTCTCTTCCATACCATCCCAAATCTCTCTTTGGTTCTCCTCCCTCTAATGCTTCAGTAATCTGCCTCTGACTCTTCTCCTTTAACTTCTGCCTTTGGATCCCTGCCCTCCTGTGCTCTGCTTGTGTACGTGCATATTTCATACAGGGCTCAGGGCTGAACAGTCCAGGAACAGAGTGGGCAGATGCTTCCAATAACACTGGGAAAGCACACACTGGTATGTGTGCGTGCAGCCTGGCGGCCAGCAATGTACTGTGCATCTCAGATGCCCCTCTCCTCTCACAAAAGTGGCTGGGGGAGTCTGACACTGTGCCTCCATCTCTGTCTGAGTCAGAAGAAATGTGGAAACAGAGATACAGCTCTGTGCAGTGAGACCTGCGTATGCACCAACTGGGGGCTCCCTGGGAGCTATTAGTTTTTCAGCCGGGACTCTGTCACTCTGGGCATTTTAGCACAGTTTTTGGTGCTGTCAAGCACAGCAGTGGTTATCTGTGTTCAGCCTGTGTTTTCTCAAAGCAATTAATAAGAAAATGCTTCATAAGCAAGCAGTATCAAATATGTTCTTGAAATCTCTCTCAGGTTGTTAAGGGCTGGACTTACTTATCAAGGAAATAGATAAGTAAGTTTTTAATTATTTGTGTGCATCCAAGCCAAAACTCTGCTGGTCATATTCCACTGGATTCAAATCTTTACTCAGGCAAGAATCCCAGGGACTCCTTGACACTCACTTGTATGGTTAGGTAATACAACCATTAATATTGCATATGGAGATGTGCATGCACAGCTATGCACATTGGGACTATAGGCTCATCTGATTGAACAGATGCCAACATAGCAGTTATTATTTATTGTGTGCTTGACAGTATATTGAAGAGAAGAGAACAAGCTCTGAGCATCAAGGACCAGTACATGGCTGCTCTTCGGCTGTTACCTGAGGAATAAGGAGAACCTAAGATTCTTCTCCAGCACAGCATTAAAGGAGAGACATGCTTTTCTTTTTGTCACCTAAGTACTGTGGCTGGGTGTCCACCGATACCTAAAGCTCTCCAGGCACATAAATGGGGATGAACTGTAGAGCCTGAGGTGTGTCCCAGCTCTTCCTTTTTCATAACATGGAGACCTGCACTGGCTGCAGCCTGGAACATCCTTTACACAGGAGAAACACATACCCTGTATGAGAATGCCTTTCCTGAGGTTGTTGCTCTGAGTTTGGAGGAAAAAGAGTGAGCCTGAATGAAGCATCAAGAAACCACCTGTGAGGGCATGGCTGAAATGCTACAAACATCTGTGTAAATGGCTCTTGGTAAATAAGTTCATCTGTTTTAGTAATATGAAGTCTTTTCATGTAACTAGCTACTAGGCAGCCTATGAAATGGTTACTCTGGCAGTAACCCACTGTAGGCATTATCATGCCTGCCTCCAGCTGCTCTTCTGGGGATATGCCTAACAGTAGCCTACAAGATCAGTCTCTAGACACGCCTGCCCCTGCCATGTCATCACCAATCTGCTTCACTGCTACACTAGGGATTCATGTTCACATCTGTGCTGTTTCCTTTCTGGAAGAAAGATTGCAGGCATAAGCTTCCAGGAGCAGCTCAGGACAGCACAGTTTGACTGAGGGGCAATACCTCTCTGCAACTCTGAATGAAGGCTGGTTATGAACCACAGCTAAGTTGGCAGCTGTATGCCAAACATCCACAATTTATGCAGTTGTCATCAACATGTTCTTTGTTTCTGATCACATTTGGAGAAACCCAAGACACCCTTATTTATAAAGAACCTCAGTACCTCTCCTTGAGAGAAATGTTCAGGTGTTTAGGGTAATTCTTTTTAACTTTTAGCTACTATGTAAAGAGGATAGGAGTCTGGCAGCTAGACCAAAATAGCAGAATGTTTTTACAAAACGGAGTCACTGCCCTATGTTTGCCTGGAAATCAATCCTAGAAGTGATTACTACACAGGCCTACTGGCTCAGGTCCTTCATGGTCACAGAGAGCCCTGCTCTTTGGATGGGACATCTGCAATGAGCTGTGGGAAATTCTACACAATTTTTAGTGTAAAAAAATAAGATTCCTAGTTTAAACATTTCCAGCATTACTCAGAAACAGAAGAGGAAGAGCTTGGGCTTGCAGCTTGAATATGACATCTAGCAATATATTATCACGTTTCTACCAGAGCCACAAAATGAACTCAGATACCCACAGCTCTGAAAGGAAGTCCCCTAACCTCAGTTTTACTACTTGTGTTATCCACAGTTGACAACGTATGACTCTCTGACTCTCTTCTTACATGACCTTTTTTTATTTTTTTGGTGAAAGCCAAAATGAAGGAAATTTAAGAGCCCAGTGCTGCTCACCTTCCATAGTTTGTTATACATCTGCCAAGTAGATCTAAGACACTACTGTATCATCATTACAAGATGTCTATTCCATCATAGGCTTCCCTGCTGCTTGAGAATCAGTAAGAAATATAAATTGCATATTCTATTTCATCTGTCTCTTTCCATTTACGGGTGAAGTCCATCAATACCAAGGAGGAAGTACTTAGCAATAAGTCAGGAGAAGTACAGCTAGGCAGTGAATGGAAAAAAAAAATGATAGCATGAAAAGCAGGAAAGATTCTACTCTCTGAGAATGTCTCATCTGATTGAAAGCAATATGCTTTGCGTAACTGTCCAGGGTTCTTGCTGTAGAAGTGTTAAATGAAAAAGACAGGGCTTTATTGCATCCGGAATCAATAATGGAAAATAAAATGTTGCACAAAGATGGCTTCTGCACTGGGTTTGATCAGTTATGTTACCTATTTTCAGTTTTATAAATGGTACTTGTCAGTGTAAATCTTATGTCTTCCACTTTTATTTAAAAAAAAAAAAAAAAAAAAAAAAAAAAGGTAATTTGTACACACTTTAAAAATGCTTTAAAGGTAGGAAACATGACCAGATTCTGTCATGCAGCAATACACAGATATGAGTGTGCTAAAGGACACCAGGATATGATGATGCAATTTGCAGAGCTATATACATGTACAAATAGATGGCATTTCATCTAAACACACATTCAGTGCATTTGAACCACTTGTTGAGCAAAGTTTCACATTATTTTGAGAAGCTGAACTATTCTTAAGAATCATGAGCAGAATGTTAATAGATAGAAAATAATGCTGTAGTCTTATCAGGTCTTACCTTATTAGTAGAATAATATTACAGAATAAAGCTAATATAATTTGTTCTTATGTCCTTCCCATCATTTATGATGGCAATTTTGAAAATAAGGTCTTTTACTGTAACATCTTGGCTTCTATGTAACCGCAATATTTCTCACTTTCTATTTCATGTGAATTAATTCAGTTTGCTTTGCTGTTATACTAATTCCTGCATCTCAGAAGTTCTGTGTTAACACTGCAAAAATGACACCATTTTTTGCAATGAAATACAAAAAAAAAAATCTAACTTGAATGAGTTTTTCAGGACCCAAAGTGTATTTCTCCATGGAAAAGCTTCTGTAAAATAAGCACCTAGCTGCGTGCTCACCTATTCAGTAAATGTTGCCTAATGAACACGATAGCTCTGGGAAAAATAGAAATTGTCTTCAGCAAATCTTAGGGGAACATACAAGTCTCTTGGGTGTGCCTGTAACATAAGACTATTCTTTTCTCAGTAGTAAAATGCTAGGGAGCTTGTGCTCAGTCAAACAGCCTTTCTTTTACAAAAAAAGTATTGTAAAATGAAAAAATAAAAATGATCTTCCTTTCAGGCTCCAGATCTCCCAGAGTAAGAAAAGAAAAACACCAGAGCCACTTCTCCCCAGTAGGAATGTTTTTTTCAATTTCTTAAGTATAAAGCAAGAAAA